ATCTAAAGCACCCCATAATACAAGGGTAAAATAGGAAATACAAAGAAAATAAATCCTATGACTAAAATACCCCAAAATACAAGGGTAAAATTGGCAAATAAAATAAACCCTATACTAATGAGGCTTAGGAGAGTACTAATACTCTATGATCATGAGGAGAGTATCCCTAGGTGTGTGAACACCCTCCTCCTCTTCGACCCTCCTAGCCATGGACCTAGTGATGGGGCCCACATGTGTCTTCAAGGATGGTCCTCCATCATCCCCTCCTTCTTGAGAAGCATCTGTCCTCAGATTAATTTCTTCATCCAACTCCTCAGCTCCTAAAAATGGTGTGAGATCACAAACATTAAAAGATGAGCTAGTGCCATATTCAGAAGGAAGGTCTAATATATATGCATTGTCATTTATTTTGTGAAGAACTTGGAATGGTCCATCTCCCCTAGGGTTTAGTTTGGACATCCTTTGAGTAGGAAATCTATCCTTCCTCAAATGAAGCCAAACCCAATCCCCTACTTCAAAAGTGATTTTCTTTCTTCCTTTGTTGTTGTATTTGGCATATTTTTGAGTTTGTTGTTCAATTTGACTCTTGATCCTTTCATGGTATTTCTTAATGAAATCTGCCCTAGATACTCCTTCTTTGTGAAACAAGGAAGGGGTATTAGGGAGGGGCAAAAGATCAAGAGGAGTGATTGGGTTAAAGCCATAGACAACTTCAAAGGGGGAAAGATTAGTAGTCTTATGGACTACTCTATTGTATGCAAATTCTATATGGGGGAGACAATCATCCCAAGTTTTCTTATTTCCTTTGAGGAGTACCCTCAACAAAGTGGATAGAGATCTATTTACTACTTCGGTTTGACCTCGTAATTTACGAGTTGGTTCCGTTAAGGTTCAGACTCGACCTTTAAAGAAAGCGTCGAGGTTCGTATTCGACCTCGAATTTGACGTTTGATTAAGGTTCGAACTCGACCTTGTGGGGATATCGAGGTTTGCGTTCGACCTTGAATTTGCATGTTGGGGTTTCGTATATCCCTTCGGGTTTATATACTGGCTGATGGGGGTTCATGCGAATAATTGGGTTAAGGTTCGAACTCGACCATCAACGAGAATACCGGGGTTCGTTTTCGACCTCGGGTTTGTGTGGATAATTAGATTAAGGTTCGTACTCGACCTTCAACGAGGATACTGGGGTTTGTTCTCGACCTCGGATCTGCGCGAATGATTGGATTAAGGTTCGTGCTCGACCTTTAACGAGAATACTAGGGTTCGTTCTCGACCTCGGATTTATGTGTCTTAATTGTCTTGAGGTTCGTACCCGACCTTCAACCGGAACACCACATCGGCCCAAAGAGGCCACGTCATCAAACACATAAAAATACAATCGTGTCACCGCGCTGCCCACGCGTTATGGGAATGAGGTGACGGTTATGACACATGGCGTCATGACAAAAAGACGTACGGTCTTCGGAGCTCGGACACGCGCTAGGCGACATCGGCTCGCTATCCAATTAGGTCATAAACTGATCTCGGGCCCAAGGCCCAACAAAACCCTAATACACACAAAGGTACGTGCATTACTTATACGAGACTCATACACCCACAAACACTAACTTTAGCATCGGAGTCTCTTTTGCAGGTACCACCCCCATCTTGGAGCATCAAGCGTACCAGCGAAGGAGGCTCACCAATCTTACTCGGAGGATCATCTCTACAGCAGATTTTCGGTAAGAACAAGTAGTTTTGAAGAAGGGAAGTGGTAGCCTATTACTATAAAAAGGGGTGATAGTTTGGGTCTACTCACCACAACAACACTAGTCTTTGGGTGTATTAGGGACTAGGGTAGTTGTGTGTCAAGAGAAAGTTTGCAATTTTTTCGTGCAAAAATTGTGTGAGAGGGGTTGCAATTTTATCCTTGTAAAAATTGCAATTGGAGAAATAAAATAATTTGTTGAGTGTGGATGTAGGCAAGAAGTGCTGAACCACCTTAATTTTTGTTTCTCTATTTTTTGTTTCTTTCGTGTGTGTGCTTCCGCTGTTGAAATTTTCTTTTCCCTCTAATTTCCCAACAATATTCTCTATTCAAATTATGAATACGTGTACCAGAACGGGTAGGCCAGCCATTATGTCTCAATAAGCGAAATTGAAGGGCTGTGGCAAAAAGGTTTTCAACAGGTTCCCAATTCGTTAGCCTTCCAAGTTGTAAGTTGATCTCTTCTTTGAAATGGTGCTCAATTCCCAACCTTTGGATAGTATCAATCGTCTTCAATGTTCTCAATGAATCACTTGTATTTAGTAATGCTTCTTGGCTGCTTCTTTTAAGTTGCTCCAAACTTTTCTTCCTCAAATTAGTTTGATTAGGGACCTGATACCAACAACATAAGAAAATCAAACGAAAGATACTATGCAAATGCACATGTTCCTAAAATACTTGAAAACTTACATATTTTGTGCTCTTTATATTCAAAATATATATTTTGTTGTTTTCCCACTCATTCTGGCGGATTTTGTAGCACTTGTTATAAAAAATAAATTCATTATTGTTCATAGAAATAAAAAAGAAAAAAAAACTATGAAGTCATTAAAGTTGAAATCAATAAATTAGAAGTTATCATATATGTTACAGGTAGTTTTAATCGGTAGAGATTCGTTGAATTAGAATCACAGTCAATATATATTTCTAGTTATAAAAATTGTACATAAAACTAAAAGAACTAAGCAAAAATTAAAGGATAAAACAAACATTTTATATTTATATAGGAATGGACTGAACACCCAAATGAAAAAAAAAACTACAAAGCCATCTAGACCGTCTCGGCTGTATGCCGATTGATATTGCCGACTCGGCCGTAGGCCGATTGGTATCGCCGACTCGGCCGTAGGCCGATTGGTATTGCCAACTCGGCCGTAGGACGATTGGTATCGCCGACTCGGCCGTAGGCCAATTGGTATCGCCGACTCGGCCGTAGGTCGATTGGTATCGCGGACTATAAGGGCTATTATGCATGTGAGGTCGACTATAAACCTGTGCACTGCCCAGGCTGATTCACGACTTGATCTCCCTCATTTGATCACCCGACTGTAACCTTGGCCGACTCACCCTCTTAGAGTCAATCGACATATAACCAATTTGGGCCACGTCAACCAGACACTGATCTCACTCACCCATAAAGGCCTACTCAGTCATTATCCGATTGGACACTCGGAAATGGAGAGGTCCCACCTTCACCCACCAAGTATTTCCAGATTGGAACAGCTAAAGAGATCCCTACATTCTCGGGGCCCATAAGGCCCGTGAACAAGAAACTATAAAACCCAAAAACCCTAGAGTTGAGGAGGCAGTTTACACTTTTGAATGCTCTAGCTCTAAGGCACGATCTAGGAAAAAACCCTAGTCCACCCTTTGGCCGGAACATTTTGGCGCCCACCATGGGGCTACGGTGAAACTGTTCCTACGCCACAAGTAACACAGGAGAACCCACACTTTACCATGGCGAGAGGCGGCACATCCAACAGCGACTCACAACACCCTACCATGGAGGAGATGATGGCATTGATCAACGGTTTGAGGGAGGAGAATGGGCGATCCAGGGAGAGAGAGGAGGGTATTCAACGAGAAAACGAGGAGATTAGGAGGCGGGCGGACGAGATGCAAGCTATGATAACGGCCAACGTCAGGACGGTGGAGGAAGATGTCATGATGGAAGTCCCCAGGGATTTTCGACCTTTTTCGGAGGCCATAAAGGCCGAGACCATCCTGAGGGATCATCGGATTCCCCAAGTCGAACCTTTTGATGGAACTGAGGATCCCAGTCAGCACTTGACGAATTTCCGCGCTCAAATGTTGATTTGTGGAGGAAGTATGGAAGTCCGCTACAAACTATTCATGGGTACACTCAAAAAAGCAGCACTGGATTGGTTTAGTGGTCTCCCTGACCGATCAATCATCGACTTTGATGTCTTTAGTCGGCTCTTCATGACACAGTTCGCCGCTAACAAGAAGAAGCCACTGATCACATCGGACTTGTTCGATCTCAAACAGCAGCGGGAGGAGTCGTTGAAGGACTTTCTACAAAGGTTCAATGAGGTCGCCTTGAGGATAGCGTCCTTGGAGGAAAGGATGGCAGTCATCGCGTTTCAGAAGGGCTTAAGGTTTGGAGCTTTCGACATCACGCTGGAGAAAGCGAATTGTCAAACGATGTCGGAGGTGAGACCTTTCACCCTGAGTCACATCAAGACGGAGGAGGGTCAAATCAACAAAAGGGCAGCTGAAAGCCGAGAAGCTGGGGTCGTCCCAAGAGATTTTTATTCCATATAAAAATGTGAAAAGGTTTTTTGCCGAGAAGGTTTTTAACGAGGCACCACTAACCAATAATTCCAACTTTATTAAATACCATCTATTTTATCTTTCCATGATCGACAGGTGTGTTATTTAAAGGCACCAAACTCGTGATTGTCGGCAAAAGTTCGATTGGGTGAGTATAAATAACTCGAAGACAAACTCGTGATTGTCGGCAAAATTCCGACTGGGCGAGTATAAATAACTCGAAGACCAAACTCGTGATTGATCGATAAAAATCCGACTGGGCGAGTATAAATAACTCGAAGACAGACCAAACTCGTGATTGATCGGTAAAAATCCGATTGGCCGAGTATAAATAACTCGAAGACAGACCGAACTCGTGATTGATCGGTAAAAATCCAACTGGGCGAGTATAAATAACTCGAGGACCAAACTCGTGATCAATCGGTAAAAATCTGACTAGGCAAGTATAAATAACTCGAAGACCAAACTCGTGATTGATCGGTAAAAATTCGACTTGGCGAGTATAAATAACTCGAGGACCAAACTCGTGATCGATCGGTAAAAATCCGACTGGACGAGTATAAATAACTCGAAGACCAAAGTCGTGATTGATCAGTAAAAATCCGACTGGGCGAGTTTAAGACAGACCAAACTCGTGATTAATCGGTAAAAATCCGACTGGGCGAGTATAAATAACTCGAAGACAAACTCGTGATTGTCGGCAAAATTCCGACTGGGCGAGTAAAAATAACTCGAAGACAGACCAAACTCGTGATCGATCGGTAAAAATCCGACTGGGCGAGTATAAATAACTTGAAGACCAAACTCGTGATTGATCGGTAAAAATCCGACTGGGCGAGTATAAATAACTCGAAGACAGACCAAACTCGTGATTGATCGGTAAAATGCCGACTGGGCGGGTATAAATCTGGAGGGTCGGCTTGTCCCCATTCAACCCTTTCAATCGGTATATTGACGACAAATTATGAACTTGGTTACGCATACACAGTCAGATATCGGACGACCCTCTCATATGATTGATTTTTAAACTTTAGATGATTTTCTTTACCTCGTTCAAGTCGGTATTTTGGCGACTAAATATGAAACTTGTTGCTTATTTCAGTCGGATTTTGGACGATTTCATTTAATTGATTTTAAGCTTGGATTTTTCCCCTTATCTTGTTTAAGTCGGAATTTGGATGATCAAAGGTGAATTTTTATTACCAAAATGAATCGGAAATTGGGCGCCTCCTACGTTATTGATTTTAACTTGGAATAGTGCATTTACGTCCTTGAGTCGGAGTCCTAGCAATCAAAGATGAATTTTCTCACCAAAACGGAATCGGGATTCGAGCGACTGTAAGTACGGGACTCGACATTTGGCCGAGTTTACTTGGAAAACTAATAGAATTTTGAGTACGGAACTCGGTGTTTGACCGATTGTCTATGGAAAACTTAGTTTTTAAACTTAGAAAACTTTTGTTTAAAAATCGGCATATGGCCAATTGTATTTGGGAAAAATACGTTTTAAAACTTGGAAGATTTTCATTGCGTCACCCGGAATTGTGGCGATCACTTTCTGTTTGAAAACCTCAAATGTTACAATATATTTTGGGGTCATTGGTCATTGCAATCGGAAATTAAATGATTATCTTTGGTTCAAAAATCCCCATTTTTAACTTAGAATTTTTCCTATTTGTCGTGTGCTCTCGGTATTTGGGCAACTAAACAACGGTTTTCGAAAACAATTAAGCTTGTAACTTAGAATTCTTCTCACTGGCCATTCGAGCTCGGTGTTTAGGCGACTAAATGGTCTTCAAAAAATCCTCAAGTTTCATAACTTAGAATTTTTCTCATGGATCAAGTGCGCTCGGTATTATCTCTTTCTTTAAATCGGAATTGGGGCGATTTGATTGTCAAAACTTAAAGGTTTAACTTAGAAAATCTTTCATCCTTCACTAAGTTAATGTCTCGTCATTCTGATCGGTAAATAGATGATTGCTAAAACGAAAGGACATCTTTTGTCAAGTCTCGAGGGATCAAGAATCGAAGCAACAAACGCCCCAAAGACTACACCTTAAGCCTTTTCGCCTTATAGGCTCAAGGCCAGAAGGCAAGTAGACCGTCTCGGTCGTAGGCCGATTGGTATCTCGGACTATAAGGACTACACCTTAAACCTTTTCGCCTTATAGGCTCAAGGCTGGAAGGCAAGTGGACCGTCTCAGGCATAGGCCGATTGGTATCACCGACTATAAGGACTACACCTTAAGCCTTTTCGCCTTATAGGCTCAAGGCTGGAGGGCAAGTGGACCGACTCGGCCGTAGGCCGATTGGTATCGTCGACTCGGCCGTAGGCCGATTGGTATCGCCGACTCGGCCGCAGGCCGATTGGTATTGCCGACTCGGCCGTAGGCCGATTGGTATCGCCGACTCGACCGTAGGCCGATTGGTATCGCCGACTATAAGGGCTACTATGCATGTGAGGTCGACTATAAACCCGTGCACTGCCCAGGCCAATTCACGACCTGATCTCCCCTCATTTGATCACCCGACTGTAACCTTGGCCGACTCACCCTCTTAGAGTCAATCGGCATATAACCAATTTGGGCCATGTCAACCAGATACTGATCTCACTCACCCATAAAGGCCTACTCGGTCATTATCCGATTGGACACTCGGCAATGGAGAGGTCCCACCTTCACCCACCAAGTATTTCCAGATTGGAACGGCTAAAGAGATCCCTACATTCTCGGGGCCCATAAGGCCCGTGAACAAGAAACTATAAAACCCAAAAAACCCTAGAGTTGAGGGGGCAGTTTACACTTTTGAATGCTCTGACTCTAAGGCACGATCTAGGAAAAAATCCTAATCCACCCTTTGGCCGGAACACCATCCATAGAAATTAATGTGTTGGGGAAAGGCAGCAAGCTCCGAAAAAAGGAACCGAAGAAAAATCATGCAAATCATATTCATGAAGTCCGTAACCTTCTCACAAAATCATTTTCCTAAGACTTATTTCTTTCGAGTTAATGTATAATTTTTTTAAAAGTAGTTGCAAA